TCCTTACTGGCGAAGTGGCCACCCAAAACTGAAACTTGAAAGAAAAACACTTTGGTCAGCCAAGGCTCAGGTCTCTGGCAATCCCCAAATGCCAGACGTGGAGAATGTCCATGGAAAGCATCCCCAAATGAAAAAAGTCAAGCTTCGCGAACTCTGGCTCCACTTGCCAAGGTGGCGGGCACCGAAAAACAGTGGCCCTCCATGCAGCTTCATCTGAGAGGTCTGTGAAGTTGAGGGTTTGATCTTTTTTCCCCTTTGTAGCGCTGCAACAATGACAGATTCCTTCGGTACCATAATGTCTCCGAAGACAAAATATTTGACGTAGATATTTCCAGTCTCCACGGAAGTGCATCGTCCGAAAGAACCAGGTTTCTCCCTCAGAAATGCGGGGAACACAAAACTCAGAACAGAAAACAAGTAAGTCCTGGAGAAACCTAACCTACACAGAAAGCATGTTCTTTAGCCAAAGCACTGAAACAGTGTTGGGGTCAACTAATCCAGTAGCAGCAGACACACGAAGGCCCTCAGAAGAGAGTCGGTTGAGTGAGGCCACTATATAGCCACATAATGTCTGCAAGGTGATGTTGACACCGCGTACCTCCGAATGCCGTCAACAGGTAATCTCATACAAAGCATTTGGTTAAAACAAGACAGCACTTTGCCAACAAGTTGCCACACAATATTTTTCACTGGGCACTGCTGCCAGAAGAAACCTGCTCAACATAGAGTTTGAAGACCAAGGGTTGAGAATTGCCTGCCAATGTAGTCCCATGACGCTTTGCCTAAAGACCTGGCATTCATCACCATAGATCGCTAAAGGCGATGTGCGTTCCACAACAACACGATCCTTCAACACAGGATACTCCTCAAGCATGTGGTTCCAATACTCCTGTCGGTCTTTGCGCGAGCCAATCAAGGCATCTAGAAGGCCCACGTTCACAAGTGCTTTGGCAAGGTTGTGAGGCAAAAGAACCGGCCACTGGCGAATGACCTGAACCTTCAATCTTCTGCCTTTTCGTTCCATCACTGGGACATCAACCCAAGTAATCTCACAATCCAATGCCAAATTCCCACGAACTTTCCGATGAAGCCGACCCTCAGCGTGAGATTCCCCTTGCCCAAACTTGTCTGAAGCATATACGCGGCCAATACTTGCTGCCAGCTTGTGCGATATATCACCTTGTCCAAAGGCCAGAGCAAGCCTTAGAATTTCCAGAAGCGCCACACAACCAAGGTCGGACAAGTGAACTCACTCTTGTTAGTGGCAAGGAGCAGTTCATCCAGTCGTTGGCGAACATCATGGTTAACAAGCCCTGCGGAGGGGTTGGACAATAGCTGCAAAAACATATTCAAGTGTGGAGTGCAAAACTAACAGAGCAGGCGCTTGCATAGCATTTTTTCACTCATCTGGACTTCCATCAAAAGCCACGAGCTCCACACCATAGAGGTTCTTCCCCATGGTGTCACACTCACCCCAAGGCACACCGAAGGGTATGCATCCCCAAATTGAAGTCTCACTCATTTTGATTTGCCTTGGGAAAAAAACAATCCACACAAACCCCACACACTTGGAAATAGAAAACGTTTGCACAAAACTGCCATATATGACACCCAGCCGCTATCTCCCGTGCCACTGCCTTCGCCTGTGCCCGGAGAATCTTGCTGTTCGAAAGCTGTGCCTTCACACCTGCAAAAAGGTTTTTGATCTTGGTCTCACCAACCTTTTCAAGGTCGACCTCCTTCAAGGAATCCATTTGCGCGCTCAACTCAACCTTGGTCTGTTGGAGCTTCAACCTCAACTCATGACCTTTTGGAAGATCCAAAGCCATTGAGCTGCAGTTCTGGTATTCTTTCTTCAGATCTGTGCCTCAGATTCACTCCAATCAAGGGGAAACAAAATGCTGTAACTTGAAGCTCCAAAAGGAAAAACAAAAAGGAGCACTTCAAGCGAAGCTGCACGCCGAGTCCATTTGCTCATCCAGCGTCTGGGGCTCCACAGGCTGCGCAACTGCCTTGGCTTTAGCCTTGGCTTTTGGACGACGCTTGCCGCCCTTAGACGTGTTGCCATTGGCTGTTGCTGTACCAGAAGCGCCAGTGTTACCTGAAAGGTGCGAGAGTGAATCGAAAACACAGACAGATTGGATAAACATAGAAAGGCATATATATATATATACATAAATTGCCAAGCCTTGGTTCGCCACAGGAGCATTGGTCAGGGCCAGCATTTGGGTCAACTGGTCTGCGTTCACGGGCGCCAATGTTTGCTTTGGTCCTTGCAGATCTGAAGACAGAAGGTTGGCAACATCTGCACCTCCCTTCACAGCAGCAGACGCCGACAAAGTGGTGGTGATCCTGTCGGACTGACTGCGCGTTGTAGACACATTCACCCACCAGCGCGCTTCTTCCATCAGGTCCGGGTACTCTTCATCCAAGACCGGCTTCTTTGTCGCCACAATTCGTTTGATCTTTTGCCTCAGGTGTGATAGGCCACAGCTCTGATAATATGCTCACAAGTCATTTCAAACATGCAAAAAGTGCAAGCAAGTTACTCACTGACACCTGCTTTGCGCATGCCCTCAATAGTGAGCAATTCCTCCACACCCTTTTGCTCCTTTTCATTGGTTCTTGCCAAATCGAACTGGTGTTCCATCTTCTCAAGGTTGCGATGATCCAGCAAGAACTGCCGCAAGAGCTTTTTGCGGTCATCATTGCTGCCCTCAAAGAGTTTGAGGCAGTTGGGAAAGTTCACAGCATCCTGCGCTTCCATGCGTCTGTTCATTTTCATAGCGAGTTTTCTGCAGTTGCTGGTGTTGATCAAGTGGATGGGGATCATGCCCTCATGCACCAAGCGGATGATATCATCTGAGTTGGCCCCAAGATATCAAACAGCGCCAAAAAATCCAAACTCCAAATACAAACTTCTACAACCAAAAAGTGCTTTCTTCTCTACCAAGGAACCTTCTTTCATATTCTTGAGGTCCTTCGCCGAGTAGATATCTCCCGACTCACCCACCTGAGCGTGATTGGATGGAGGATTGGTTCGCCGTGATGGAGGATCGATTCGCGGTGATCCAGGCACGGTGTCCTCCAACTCCTCACCATCAAGGTCATCAAGATATGTCTCTCCTGGAGGGTTTGCAGGTGGCTCAGGCGGAATCGCGGCAGCCTCATGCGAAGGCTCAGCTGGAAGCGGGGTCTTAGGGGCTTCAGGCAAAGCCTCAGGGGCTTCAGGCAAAAACCTCACGGGCTTCAGGCAAAACCTCAGGGGCTTCAGGCAAAACCTCAGGGGCTTGAGGCAAAGGCTCAGGCGCTTCAGGCAAAGCCTTAGGGGCTTCAGGCAAAGGCTCAGGGGCTTTGGCTTCAGGCAAAGGGGCTTCAGGCTCGGCTGGCTTTTCCTCAGGTGGAGGTAGGGCCTGCAGCCCAACTGCATTGCACAAAGCTTTGGCAAACTCTGCGAGCGATTGCTGGGTAGCAACTTGAGACGCCGAGGGTCCAAGCCTTGAATTGAACACAAGGGGTCGAAGACAAAAGCCACCAGCGCCCAAAAAACAAACACAGGCTGAATAAAAAACAATTAACTGCGCATGCTCTCAAAGGCACGAAGCGAGCAACTGCGACTCTGTCTGGCTGTCCTGCTTGTTCATTGCCAAAGAGGCAAGCGTTTGGGCCATCATTTGTTCCTGCCCTTTCAGCAGAGTACACAAACTTCCCAGACAACTTTGGGAGTCTGATTCTGCAGCAGGGTTCCACAGGTTCTGCCATGCATCCAGTGGGTGCCTCACTCTCCTCTTTCTCCTTTGCAGCTCCTGTTTCCTTCTTTGCCTTCTTGACTTTCGTGGGTGCTGGTGCGTCTTCCATGCCTGCATTCCTCTTTGCCTTCCTAGGGGGGTTGTCAGGTTCCTCCTCCTTGCTGTTTTTCTTGGCTGTTGTCCCTTCTCCTTTTGCATTCTTCTTTGCCTTCTTGGGTGGTTCCTCTTCCTCTTCTGCCTTCTTCTTCTTTTTGGGCTTCTCTTCTTCTTCATTATCCTGTTCTCCTGCCTTGCTTTTGGTCTTGGTTGCATCCTTTCCTTTTCCTTTTTTCTTTGTTTTTCCTGTGGGCTCCTCTTCCTCATCGTGTTGTCGTGCCTTTGTTTTCTTCTTCTTGGGCGCATCTTCCTCCTGGTCCTTGTCCTTTTGTTTTCCTTTTCCTGTAGGCTTAGGGGCTGTTGGCTCAGGCTCCTTCCATTCCTCTTCTTCTTCTTCCTCCTCCTCAGCCTTCTTATTCTTTTTACCTTTGGCTTTTGGTGCAGGTTCCTTGCTAGCTTTCCCTGAGGCCGCTGAAGCTTTAGCTTTAGCTTTTGCTTTTCCTTTGGGCTTTGGTACCTGGAGGTTGAGTAGGCATATAAGCTGGGGTTATGGAACCTGGGAAAACTGCCAACAAAAGCTTTCCATCCTTG